ATCTGTCATATTAAACATTTCCTTTCCTTTCCTTTCCTTTCTTTTGTTTTTTAGCACACTACTGTGTATGCTACTTTTAGGTTGGCTTAAAACTGAAATCGTGATCGTGTCTTTTCTTCTCTGTTGTGACATCCAAGTGAAACGACTTTGTACATCTGGAATTATATCATTGTCATTTGCTAACTGCTGCGATCTCATGTGATTGACAGGTTGCTGAAGGGAAGAGGTTACTGTCCCGCCCTCACACCACTGAACATGTCTTTAGACTAGAGGGTAATCCAGAATCAATGTCCAAAACAGACAAATGATCAAATCACAGGTAAACAGTCCAAACAGGCAACAAAGCAGGGGAAACAGGCAAGGGATATCATGGGAGCAGGCATGGATTCAAAACCCAGAGACACAGGAAACAAGGGGAATACTCAGAAATGCAGCTGACACTAACAAGACTTCGCAAAGACACAGGAGAATACACAGGGTATAAAAAGCGAGAGACAAACAGGGTAGCAAGGGGAGGAGCTAATTAAACACCATGGAAACTAACAAGGGGAACCATGGAGGCAAACAACTGGGCAAAGACCGGGCAACGAATTGTGGGAAATGGAGGCCAGGACGGAATGGCACTGGAGTAGGGAGCAGTGCCCACTGGTGGATGTCTAGGGCACTCCAGCTGGTAATCGTGACAATACCACAACCTGTTATTTTGATCAAGCACTGAATAAAGGGGATAGGATTGTGCACAACATTAGGACAACATTCCCAGCGACAGCCCTGGGTTGGACCTTAGGATAGAAGCCATACTTGATTATAATGAAAACAAGCCTGTGAGGTATAGACATACAGTCTGTTCAACAGGATTTGCAATTTTACTTTGCTATTAATTGTTAAATGGATACAAAATTGAAAATTTGTCTTTTCAAAATACTTCTTAGTGACAAAAAACTCTTAAAACGTGTGTTATGAAAATGACACAATAGGACAATACTGTACATTACAGTATAGCCCATAAAACAGACTATACATTTTTCTCTCACAGCCTTGTTATTATGTGTGGGAAAATTAAGCATTGTGTTTGCCTTAATTAAGGTCTATTTAGGTCTATTTACTTAAGATCTTGATCTATAACCTGTTTTGTAAATTTATTATAAAATCAGTTAAATCCAGGATCTTTTCCATTAATTCCATCAGATGTCCAACAGATTCCAGTCTGGTGAGAAACAGCACTCAGAAATATTTCTACTTCTACTAATCTGTTTCTATTACTTCTGCCAGCCAAGATTGCTTGGCAAGTCCATGCTACATTCAGTATAAGGTTCAGTCTACTAGGGAAATCATAAAAGACAGTGATCCTAAAAGAGCAAAGACGCGTCCTAAAGATGACAGTATGATGGAGGCAAATTAACCTGCCTGAAGCATTTCAGTCATTCTGATGTGCCAAAACGTATTCTCTAGAAAAACACCCTCAATGCCAGAGCCTCCGGTCTGGTCTGTAGTATAACCTAACTCACCGCATCACAAAAATTGTTAACTGCCACTGGAGACTGATAGCAAATCACTATCTACCTCAAATTGTGCACCATTGTACACCAATTTAATAGGATAGTTAACAAAAAAAAAAGAAAAAAGCTCACCCTCATGTCATTCCAAAACCGTATAACTTTGTTTCTTCTGCAGAACATAAAAGATATATTGAATATATATTTATATATACATATTATCAAACACATATTATCAAAAACAACTCTTTTTAATATGTTCCATGCTAATTTGGCTAAAGTTGTAGTATCTTGTGTGAATCTTGTGTTGTCATATACTCCATTATAACTGGCTGCTTGTTCACAGGTAATCCTGAACCTGCTTTCAATAAACAAAAGACTCAAATCCCAAATCACCTGCATCTTTTCTTTACTGAGCAACTCATCTTTCCCTTCAAAGCATTAGCCATGGATCACAGGAACCCAGTTTCTTCATCTGGTGTACCAGTGCTCACAGACGTTAAACAGTCTGGGATGAAATGTCAGACCTTCAGACCATCAAGAAGAAATGACTGAAAGGGGGAAAGAAAGCATGTCTTGAAAAAGATTGATGCCAAGGCACAGGGGAGTAGCTCTATCGGTGCATTGGTGCAGATGACACCGGCTGCCTAGGGAACAGGTCTCCTCTCCCAGTGGCATTGAACTGCTCGGCAAGACAGTGCACTATCATTAGTGCTGGGTGGAAACGGGATCAATATTTACCCGCTGGTGTGGGTCTCCTTACACAAGTGATTGCCCACAAGGATTACTTGTCACTGTTTGAGTCATCTATTGTGCTGGAGGCCAAACAAGACCATTAAAGTTTGTGAAGAGGATTGGACAGACATGTGCCTCAGCTGAAGGCACCCATTAAAACGTTTTATTTAAGTGTAGATGTAGACACCCCTGTCAATGATATCAGTGATATTGTTGACATAATAAGGTGGCAACATCATAAACAGGTTATTTGGTGAAAAATGTTTGTGGTCATGTGCAAAAATATTTTCTAAATAAATCTACTTTATTTGCATGTATTTACTTTATTTTTATTATAATAAAAATAAGAAATATTTCATATTCAATCATTTATTTTGTATATTTAGACAAATAAATCAAAATATATAAATGTTTAAAAATACTTAAAATTAGATTAAAATATTTAGTATTTTAAATGATGATTTACCAAACTTATTAAGCATGACAAGCTACCATGACACAATTAGTTTGTATTTATTTTTTAGTGCACGATATACTATGCTAGTTGTTAGTGAAGATGGGAAATCCAATTCCATTTAACCTCAATATCACTTTTGCCCACTCCAAGACAATTTTGTGCTATTTTATCCTCTTGCCAAAACTCTGGTAAAAGCAGTGATCAGTGTCAGGCAATGGCAGGTGCTGAGAGAAGACATGAGCAACTGCCTTTATTTTGTAACTCTCTTTCTCTCTCAGCCCGAGACATTATTTCTCGTTAATGGGAACCAGATCAAAAATCTCTATGCCGCTGACATTTAAATTAGTCAGGAGACATTTGTGGTTTCCCTTGTGCGCTTCCTCCATCTTGTTGCCTGAGGTTGCACACATCAAATATTAACCGCTGTGTTTTGTACCTGTGCTGAAGCCACAACAAATGATCTCCCTTAGGCTGAAAATGTCAGAGAAACCTTTACAGGCTCTTATTTAGCTCCTCCTGGGAACTGAATGTAATGGCAGCATTTGGCCTATTCATCTCATGATTTTCTGGTGTCAAATTCCCCTGCTGTCCATTTCAAGAATACCTTTTATAGTTAGCTGACTGTTTCATCCGGAAGCCTTTCATCTCTTGAACTTTTGCTCTATTGCATCTTGGATGCCCTGCATTCTTCGTTTCAAAGAAAAGATTCCTGTGTCAGGTATAATGAGAAGAAATAAATTACAGACTATAATTGTAATGTGTTATGATTAGGTTACTATGGCTGGTGGTCATTATGGTGGTCAAATGATGATTAAGTTGCTTTTTAACCACCTGCCACCATAATAACCTTCTAATATATGATCAGACATTAATGATAAGGCCTGTAACAGACTGGCTTATTAGCCCTGTCTTCCAAATAGAGCATTAATGAGACTGAAACATTTACTCAAGGGAAGGTTTGTGCATTTTAAAGCAATCCAGAAAATCTATACTTGCATACCTCCATCCAGATAGCTCTGCATTCGTTCACACAGAACGCGATTTTGCATTTCCACTGTGCAGCTTTTCCGGTGACTTTTTTTTCTCATTTAATTGCGTGTGTACACGAAACGCGTTTTTTCGTCCCACTTTTGTAATTAAACATGCGCTAGACAGTTTCTTTTATTGTTGCGCCGCGTCTCGCTGCTTTTCAGCGATTCGTTGAACCAAACAGAAGGAGTTGGGGCGGGATATGAATCGTGCGCGTGTGTATCATTTGTTGTGTTACAGTTTTCCATTTTGAAAACTGTAACTTTAAATTCTGCTGTACGGCTACTTCTGTATAAAGGCTGCGCTTTTTACTATTCTTCATCGCTGCGTCTCGCGTTTTAAAACGGAACGCGTTCTGTGTAAATTAGCTTTTAAAACCATAATGTAGCCTATAGAAAAGAACTGACCTAGTGAACATTCAACAGGTGATCACTTACTTCGGTTAGGCAAGAAACATCACAAAGTAGGCCTAGAAAAAAAAACACTGACTAATGATATCTTAAAGGGGTCATATGATGTTGCTAAAAAGAACATTATTTTGTGTATTTGGTGTACAGTCGGTAGGTTTATCACTAATACCAGTTGACACAATGTTTGAATTAATAAGTTTCAATCATGTGTCTATAGCGCCATCAATTGTGTTGGACGGTTAATCGTACTTTTCTGGAACTTATTTTGTACTTTATACTTTACATTCTGTTTCACGGACATTGCTTGTAAAAAATAATTTAAGTAACTTTCAATTTCGCTAGATGAAATGCTTCCAGAAATGTCATGTCCTGATGGATCTTAATTGCACACCTTTATCGATGTTGCTTTATTTAATTTTTTTCTTACTTTAAGCCTATCTCAAGTTTAATCAGTGATAACTGTGAGAGAAAAGTCTCATATTTACTGATCCACATTACACCACAAACCATCACCACATTCATTAAATTATACTAACACTTTACATTAGTTGTAAAGTGAAGACTATTCTAGCAACATATCTGCACATCAGGTTTCGAAGTGATCCGTGCTGGTTGCTGAGGCATACCATAAGAAAACTGAAAATTGGTAAAGTAGCACTCCACATTGACAATAATAATAATGCCTAGGGATTGTAAATCCCATTTCAAAACCTTAGGCTGATGATACATGGGGCAACTTTTTGTGAGCAATGTTGCTTGGGCACTTTCCCATTGAGAATGGTTAACAAATTTCTATCTGGATACTTTAGATCAGTCGTGTCCCCTGTGTCTCACCTGGTTGCCTGTTGACGGCAACATTGCCAAAAGTTGCCCAGCAACAGAGCTCAAAAAGTTGCCCTGTGTAGAAGACATGAAGTTTGTGCATGAAGTCATATACCAGATAATATCTTTATTAAAACCTTTGTAGAACTAATAATTTTCAGTCACATGAAGCACATCCATGATTCATGAAAAACAATTGTACAATGTAATAATAGGCCATAAGTCCGTTTTTTAGTTTGGTTTCTCAGCCCCATCCTCCATTTTGTTTGTGCTGTCCTTGTTGATGGGGAAATCCAGGGATGTTCTGAAGCGGACTGAGGACTCATCTTTGGATTCTGGTGACTCAGTATGCAGAAGTCCATCTTCTCCAAGTGAGCAGGTCAAGGAGGTTGGATCCAGGTGGTCAGGAAGCTGCACAGCTTGAACAAATCCTTGTGGCTGGGCTTCTGCGACGTGAGCGGTGCTGGTAGATGATGTAGAAGCGTCTGTCTGGGCCCGCTTGCCGGCCATCACCTCCAGGCGCCTTCCAGATACTGTCACGGTGACATCTTCTGGAGAGAAGCCTCGAGTGTCCAGAGTAAGAGAAACGTCTCGCCGTTTGTTCTGCTCTGTATTGATCAGGCTGAAGAGCCTGGAGAAGGAACTCTGACCATCTAGACACTGGAAGAACTCATCAGTGAGTTCATTCAGCAAGCTGTCTCTGATCTCTTTCCTCAGGTTCTGCATTATTTGGGCTTTACGGGTGAGGAAATCCTCTTTGAAGCCGGAAAGAGCCATACTGCATCTGGGCCACAAAAAGTGGGAGTTTGCAAAGAAAGGGTCATCCATGAAGAGGCTCTCGGCAGAAGACATTTCTCTTGTCTGTTTGTCTGGGTGGTGTTGTCTTGAGGGCTTATCTGTGCTCTCAGAAGTGTGATCTGCTTGCTTCAGGTCCCTTCAGTTTATATATTTCTCCAACAGGTGTCTAGAACCTCCCACCACTTTTTACATCAGTGAGGTCATGAATAAGAATTTGAAGCTACAAGTAAACAGGACATCCAAGATGCTCATAAGGCTATTATAAGGTTATAGTTGTAATTTGATTTATGGGTCGGTGTCACTTTTACTGTCCCACAGCCGTCATTGGCCCTGCTGTCCAATTTGGGATTGCCCACTGAGTCCTTTGTCATGCACAGAGAGTGAAGTCACACGCTAACTTTACACCCTATGTGTGTGCAAGTGTTTATTCTGTCCTTACCGTCATAAAGAAGCTGCTTAGCGTATGCAGGAACTATGCTGACTGCAGTCATGATGTCAGTTCCTAAAAGCAGGATATATACATATACATATACATATATATATATATATATATATAGATAGATAGATAGATAGATAGATATATATGTATATATAATGTTTTTCATAAAATTTAAAAAATATAGATTATATAAGAGAATAATATAAAGAAGAATATGAAAACCCATTATTTTTTCAAAAACACAAAATATGAGCTTATTTGCTGGGTGCTTAGATCAAAACATTTAGTTGTAGGCCTATTAATTAATATTTAAATGAATAAATATTGTAATTAGTTAGACAATTTTTTAATGATAATTTTTATTTTGTTCTGAATATCTGTAATGGTATTTGAATAGGAATGTAGTAAAACTGACATGCATTTTTGGTTCCCATAAAAATAAATCATGTGAAATAAATCATGTGAATGTTGTCTAATACTCCAAATGTCAAATATTATATGACACATGGCAAACTTAAATTAAACAAATTAGCTCAAACAAATGAACTTTTATGAGTATTTAGAACTTTCTTTTTCTTTTGAGTTCCCAAAACCGACACATTTTAAGTAATATAAATTGTTTCATTGTTTTGAGTTTAATGAACTTGTTTCTTTTAATTTAAAGGAAATTAATGTCTTGCTATGCTAATTTAGAAGAGTTTCTTTGGGGTTTTTTGATCTCTAATGATCTCTAATGCATTACTCATTCAGCAAATGCTATGCTAATCAAAGCATCGTGTTACCAATTAGCAAGTTAGCATTTACTGAATTAGCTAGTTGTAGCTAGTTAAGTTTCACTATAAAAAATAAGTTAGAGTTAAATGTTACGCTTACGCAAATAGTTCAAAGTTAAGAGCAATTAACATGTATAAGTACAAAATAAAAATGCCACTTCTGCTTATAAACTTAGAATTTCTTTAAGTTTTGCTAACTTAGGTTTACAGGTTTACAGCATGGCCCTTGTTTATATTTTCCATGTATGAGTCAAGTGTCCCCCTCACATTCCCCATGAATGAGGAGTTCCCCTGTTAGCTAATCCAAAAAGTATTCTGCTGAGCACAGGACAGAAGCTTCTTAAACACCCAGAAGGAAGAGCAAACAGCTGAGCCATGACCGCACATCTAGATTTAACACACAGATATATTTACCAATGACACAGTTCAGGCTTATGACACATTTATTCAAAACTACATGCTAAAAGAAATACCATATAACCCTGAAATTTAAATGACTAAATCGAAAACAATTAAAGCAAAAACAATTTAATATACCTGTATAAATATATATTATTATATATACATTTAAAAAAAAAAAAATTTCTCAGTGTCCCCATGACTTACTACTGATATAATTAACAGGAAACTGAATGTGACCACAGTGTTCTTTCTTATAATCTTTTTCATAATATATTTGTAGTTACAATTAAATTTCATTTTCAAACTTAACATTTCAATGTCATGGGTTATTATTTTTTCTTTTTCAGTTCAGTTTCAAATTTGTTGATCATTGATCTGAATATTGGCACGGCACATCATTCATGGTGGTCTTCCAATGTTTATGGTGATTATGGCCTGATTTTGAGGTGCAAAAATGATATCTTTAAAGTTCACTAGTATCCTTTTTTAAAAGTACAAACATGTGTGCTTATTATTTTGTTATTTTATGTAAACTCAGCGAATATTAAATATCTATTGTGAAAATATAAGACTTTAAATAATAATAATAATAATAATAAAAACGCCGACATTTAAATGTTTGATAAGTAGCAAAATAAACATTAGGTGGCGCTGTTAGCCAAGTATAAAAGCATTACCTCGCTTCAAGCCTGCTTACTTTTGAGTGCTGTGCAGCTTTTGCCTCTAGAGGGCGTTTGAGGATTGTATTTCTTGCATCCACTCCAGAAATCACTGTAAAATTATATTTAAAAAATGCTCTTGCTGACATATAGATGATATATAACCATACGAGATAAAAATGAAAACATATAATGAATCATAAATTCTTCACGTAAAGTTTTGCATGCTATACTTTTTGAATACACACGACAACACAGAAGTAAACTATTACATGCACACACACATATTAAAATGCATTCTGTAAATATCAGTGCTCAAAACATTCAGACCTATCAGACAACCAATCATATGGGCCATCCACCGGCCCTGTAAAAACTTTGCTTTTAGTATGTCCCAGCTCTGTTCACATCAGAGCGAAAGAGGAAATCTATTAGTCTGACAGCTCCCCCAAAAAGCCGGCCGCAGCTTCTCCCCTGAGACCTTCCAACTGACGGCTTGCAGAAGGAGGGAGCGTAGTGATGGGGGAGAGAAAAGGAGAGCGAGAGAACGAAGCGGAAGTGGCGGTAAGTGTGGGGAAGAAGGGGGTATGAATTAGACTGCAATTAGCTTTGAATATTAGCTTTTGAATCAGCTTTTTCCCCCCTGAACACGTTCAGATTATAGCTACCGAATTGAAACAATTCAGCAAGTGTTTAATCTTGACAGTCACTGTAATAGTGCTGAGACAGAGCAATGAACTAATGCTGCTCATTGTAAGGCAAGGTCAGAGAACTGTAGGGAGTTAGCGCTTAACCTTCAAGGCCTACGAGCAAGGGCTTACCCATACTAAAAGAGCAGAAAGAGACAAGGGAGGGAGACGGAGGAAAAGTGGGGGAGATTTTTTTTGTCATTTGCAGCAATAGATGAAATATGACTGAAGCAGTAACGCTGGCTCTACAAACGCATAAGTCATAATGTCACACTGCACTGTTAGTACTAGCATACAAAGCAGGTTAGCATCAACTCACTGTCAAAAAACACAGTATGATGGGAATGCAGGATGATTGTGAACATAGGAGCCAGTGGATTTTGAGCAAAACTGAATAAATATAATTTGCCAATAAGTATTGGTTTAAAATGTATCTAAATAACATTTGTTTTTGTTTTTATTTTTTATTTCATTTTTTAATGTAATTTAATTGAATATTTAAATTAAATGTTATTTTATTTTAATACATTTTTTTATAGGAAAGTTGAGTGTAGAAAGAAAAGTAGGGGTTATAGGGGAACTGGATTGGGACATGACCTTTTAAAAATAAAGGTATTAAACCCCCCAACCCCCCAAAAAAACCCTGTTAGTAAATAGCTCTTAAAAGAATTTTCTTTAATAATCTAAAGAAATGTATTCCACTTTATTCCAAAAACAAACCAAAAAAAAAAATACATCAACAGCTCATACAGGCATGTAAGGGATACACAAAAAACACAAAACACATAATGAGTTATTCAGCAAAATGTTTAAGCTACTTTTTTCCACACAATGACAGAGCATAATAAAATAAAAATAAAAAATAAAAAACCTTTTTATTTTTATTTAAAATTTTTATTTTTATTTTTAATTTATACAAGGTTAGAGTTAGAAAAAAAAAACAGAACTCTGATACATCCCCATTTTGATAAAATGTGTGAGTTTTGCCAACATTGCTGAGATCAGACAACATCCCTATTAGGGAAAACGGCTTAATAAAGGTAAATGATCTTTTAGTAAAATGCAAAAAATGCAGTAGAAAGAGGGGCTGATTCTTTGAAGAACCTGCTTATTTCAGCAACGGTATCTTTTTTGTACACAGTGTTTTGAAGTTGTAAGCGACAACATACAATCTTTAAACGAGCCAGGAAGTGAGAGGGGTGAAGGCAGGAGCAGTAGGTTTGAGAGTGAGGACAGGCATGAGCCGGTGGTGAGTGTTCTGAGATGAGACTGCGGTGACTGCCATTCTCACACATTTCACTTCCTCTCGTGGCCAGCCTTGTCACGCAAACCTCACTCTCAGCTCATGAGATAAGACAGTCAGCTCTTTTCTCCAAGACCTTCGCAGTTTTTCATTTAACTTTGAAGTTCAACAGTATGTTGTGTGAACCAGGTATCAGAGCAGAAACAGCTGCCTCTAATTTATTCTTTATCTGTACTCAAACTTTTTGTGATGGCGGGGGGGGGGGGGGCTTTTTTT